CTTCCTGAAGAATTTACACTTATCCGCGTTTACTTTCAGGTTCGCCGCTCGCAGTCTTCTGAATACTTCCTTTAGGTTCCGCATGTGCTCCTCTAGTGTCCGTCCGATGACGATTATATCATCCTGATACGCGAAAGCATGCGGCATCATTTCAGGTCCAATTACCTGGTCCAACGCCCGCTGGAATGTTGCCGATGCCGAGTGTAAACCGAAAGGCATAACTTTCCATTGAAACAGGCCTTTCCCTGGCACTGTGAATGCGGTATACTGCCTGCTGGCTGCCTCCAACGGTATTTGCCAGTACCCGTCCTTTAAGTCGAGGCTGCTAATATATTTAGCTTCTCGGAGTTGGTCCAGGATGTAGTTGATCATCGGCATTGGATATGCATCCTTTACGGATTTTGCGTTGATCTGCCTGAAATCCACACAGAGCCTCCATTTCCTGGTCTTCTTTCTCACCATGACTATTGGTGAGCTGTACGGACTCCTTGACGGTTCGATGCATCCCTTTTCAAGTAGCTCGTCTACTTTGGCGTTGATCTCGCCCTGCATTTTTGGATTCTTCGGATAGTACCGCTGTTTGACCGGCTGATCGTCCTTCATGGTGATCCTGTGTACTGCCACGTTTGACGTGCCTTGCAGATTTTCCAGGCTCTCCAACTCGGTCTTTAAAAACTGGTCCACATCCTTCTCCGAAAATTCCTTCGCGGCTTCCACGACTGCTACCGACAGTTTTTCCTCTAGCCAGCCTCGGTGTCTGTCCCTCGCCGGTATCATCACTCTGTGACCTGCGCATTTCACCTCGGCTCCGATTTTGGTAAGGAAGTTCCATCCTAGCACCAGTTCGTCAATCAATCCTGGGAGGATCAGCAGCTCCATTGACACTTTTCTTGTGCCAAGTCCGATTTGAATTTCTAACTGCGATTTTACGTCTCCGCATCTACCGTCCGCCATCCGTACTTGCCTCTTTGTGGGTCCAACCTTTCCTGCCGCCTGCAGCCTGTCCGCCAGCTCTTTGCTGATGAAACTCGCTGTCGCGCCGGTGTCCACCGTGGCCTTAACGTTCGCGTCACCTATGAGCACTGTGGCGGACAGTTGCATTTCTTCCGCCTTCAGGTCGCCCATTATTTTTGAGAGGCAGCACCTTACGATCCCTGGCCGCCCCTCGGAGGCTGGGATCGTTGCGCGTTTCCCGAACAGCACTCCACCGTACGGACGCCTATCTTTCCGCATCGCCAGCAGAATGTGAGTCGCCGGTTCCGGCACTCCTTCGTCCAGTGGTCCGCGCCCCCGCATCTGCGACACGCGTTGGCCGGATTCTGTATAAATCCACTGCGATCGGCTGGTGGTCCGTGTTCCTGCGGCGTATGCCTCCGTGGCGCCTCCGTGTCCTCCTGGCACCGCCTACACACTGCACCCTGCTCTGCCCTTGGCCTTGGCACTAGGCGGTTCTGTGTCCTCTGGGAGTGGTTTTCCATTTCAAACTTCTCCCGTTGCTCCTCCAGCTCCTCAAACTCATCTGCCAGCGCCATCAGGGTGTCCAGGTGCCGACACTCGTACGGCCGGATAAACATTCGGAGGGCCGGCGTGCTGTTCTCCTTTATCCTGTTCAGGACTTCTTTGGCAGACATACCCAGGGACCGCATCATCGTCTGCATGTCCACCATGTAATCTTTAAATTTTTCCCCGTATGTCTGCCTCCGCTGCCTGACCTGGTCCGCAAGCTTCTCCATGTAGCCTCGAGGAAGGAAATATCCTTGGAAGCTGAATATGAAGTCTCCCCAGTTGTCCCACTGCCGGTTGTTGGCTATGAACCACTTTAGGGCTCTGCCCTGCAGCAGCTCCGGCATTGCTCATGGGATCTGGTTTATATCCAGACCATATGTCACGGCTGACCACTCCACCTGCTCCAGGAACTCCAGTGGCTTGTCGTTGCCGTCGTACCGAAAGTTCCACTCTCGGACTTGCTTGGCCACCTTGGCGTAGTCCTGCGGATGTGGCCGTACGCTTTCTTTCCTCTCGCGGCTGCCTTCTCGCTGCCTGCCGTCGCTTGCCATGCTCTGAATATCCAGGCTTGCTATAAGGCCTTCGGCATCTGCGGCTGTTAGCTTGAATTTTGGGACCGGCAGCTTCCGGAATTTGACCTCCAGACCTGCCACTAACTCTGCCACGACCGGGTCTTCTGTTATGCGGTCAACCGTCTCTGCCAGGGTCTTCCTCATCGCCTCTACCGAGCCCTCAAGTTCTATTCCCAGAACATTGCTCACCTCGGCGAAGTCCTCCTTCCTGAGATTATAAATCCAGGACTTTCCCATCTTTGATCTTTTGTTCTCTTGGTCAGGGCAATCACTCATGGGCGCCAGATGTAACGACCTGATTTCTATGTATTCTCGCTCGCTACGTTAACGGGCGGCTAGCTCAGAGAGGTTATGGGTTCGTTCCACTAAATTTATATTGGATGATTGCCTTTGACCAATGAATAACGCAAGAGTTCTGTTGGGATCGTAACTGTCTTTATTCGTCTCCTTGTACAAGCCTCGCGGCTCTTCAGCTGCTGCTGCTCCTCGTCGTCGTCCTCTGCGGCGTCGCTCCTCGTCGCTGTCCTTCGCGGCGTCGCTACTCGTCGTCGACTGCTTGTTGGTATCTGACTCGTGACGGCTCCTTCGAGACTCTGGATGTTATGCGAACCTCACTATCGGGACCGGCAAGGTGTTTCGCCTAGCAGGTAGAACGCCGTTCTGCCTTTTCGCCTAGTCACCTTTATCGCAGGCTCCCTAAGTTGGTCCGGATTGTGTCGGCAAGGTGTATCGCCTAGCCGGTTGAACTCAGTTCGACCTCTTCGCCCAGCCACCTTTATCGCAGACTCCACGCAAGGACTCCCTGAGCTCGATTTAACCACGACCTAGCACCCGTTGGATCTCAGCGTTGAAGCCTCAGCCTTGTAGACTCTCAGTCGTTCGGCGTCTCGACTTTGCGATCTTGATCCTGGTACTCGGCACTTGATTAACTTGCTACTAGTCTCGCGTACACGCACTCGCTTTGATTCTCGCACTATTACTCCTCGTGTGCTCCGCTTGCGCCGCCTTTTATAGCCTGTGATGGTCCCGTTATTCCCTTTTCCAGCTCGCGTGATCGGGTCCAAGGTCCACTGCCGCACCGTTAGTTCACGGTGCGTCCTCTTTGTGCGGGTCCGAAGTCCGCCAATTTACCGTTCGACCCTGTTGCCCTTGCCGTATGAGGGTCCAATGTCCAGCGTGGTACCGTTAATTCACGGTGTCTCCGCTTTGCCCGGGTCCAAGGTCCGTTGTTTACCGTTTGACCTTGTTGCCCTTGACTCCTCCGGCATTCTCGCCTCCTTCGCTGTTGCTATGCAGCTCTCCTGCCTCGGAATTTGTGGGGAGTTTTAAGACTCCTCACAGTATATCTTTACCTTCGACCCTGGCAGGCCACGCCAGAGCTGTTCTAGGGCTGGAAGGGCGTCTTGCTTCTTCAGCTGTCTGATAGATTGTGGCCTATCAGACGCGAGAGGTGGGCGTGCTGGCAGGGTAGCTCCGGCACCGAGGTGAGATATGGGGTATAGGATGGAGGTAGGTAGTTATGAGGGAGGGGGTGTGTAAGGCTACGGTGTTAAGACGACCAAACAAGCGTCTTGTCGGTATACCTCCATCGGTATACCCGCTGTTTGTCCGGGGTTGCTTATTTGCTTGCGCTTATTCGCAACTAACCATCCCAGAAGGTCGTTCGCTATCCGCAACCTGCGACCCGCCTGGTGGCCTCAGCTAAGCCTCCCTTCGAATCATCCCACTAGTTCTTGAGGACAAACTTTAATGAGTTTTCAAAGCTGAGTGTGTCTCTGTGGACTGCTTAGCTTGAGATTTCGGCATCGAGTGACTTTATTAAGTTTCTCGTTCCTGATATGTTACCCTCACGCATGTATTAACGATCTCTGTCTGTGTTGTCAGAACCGACGTCCACTTCATGAGTTTCTCTCTTCTTGCTCTTCTGGTTTGTTTCTGAATCCTACATACAATTAATCCTCGCTTACTTATTCCGGTTTGTTTCAATGAATGAGCAAAATTGTACTTTTTATACAATTTAGCTCAATAATGTATAGGCCCGTTAGTATTTCATCGAATGGTATTTTTATACCAAAATTTTGTACTATCGGGTTTCGGTTCTGACAATTTTGTTCATTCATTGCTCATTGGAATCGTCATAGGTTTTCTTGCTCACACTTACATAAAATCGTATAGTTAAAGCAAAAAATTACCAATGAATGAGGCTAACAATGTATGTGCCCATTAATGACTGAATCTTTGAGTTGCTGAAAATGCACAGAAACTTTAAGCAATAGAGGGATCAACCCAAAATGTTTCCTGCTCAAATTGTTAAAACACGAAGGAAAAGCTAAAAAATGAATTAGTGGATATTATAATCAGCTAAGAAACAACTTTCTTTTGCAGATATTTGATGATAACTTTTATGTTGGGACCCATGATGCCGTCTGGTAGGAAAGAGCGACTTCCCTGGCTTTTCAGCAGCCAAATTTTTAGCAGCCTCTGGGTCGCTTAGGGAATCTCAAACGTCTTTTTACAACTACATAAAATAGGAAATCCAAAAAATATAAATAATAACAGCTCGCCCGAAAAGTCTATTATTAAGGTTGCAAATTATATGTTACGTGCCATTTTAAGAGCGGGCTGCTGATTTTTGTTTAATCAAGCTTAAGACTTTTATAACAACTTTTTTAAACTTTGCTCAGCTCTACCATCTATATTAACGAACCAATCGCTGTTAGAAGTTAAAGAAAGTGACACTTTCTAGTAAAATAAGTTATTAATCGCCTCAATCGGTTAGACAAAATTAAAAATAAACTATAAAAAATAGCCATAAGAACCAAATAAGACTAATTGAGTGTCATTTTATGAATCAGAAACAGAAAAACGATCTTTGTTTGTAAACCAATGTTATTATTCAGAATTTCCTTTTTTCGTTTTTAGAATCTGGACCACTTCAAAGTTTCTTTTTTAAGAAATACAGGAAGTGTTATTTGCCATGATCACAAACGTGATACGATAAATCGACTACGAAATATAAAAAATCAAAACACACTTGAAATGCCTCCCCCTTATCCTAACGGTTGGTATGCTATCCTGGAATCGTCCCAACTTAGAGCAGGGGAGGCTACTTTTTTGTCATGTTTGGGAGAGGAACTAGTTATCTTTCGCACTCAAAAAAACATGGTTTTTGTTCTGGATGCTTATTGCCCCCACTTAGGAGCCAACTTGGGCATTGGTGGAAGGGTAATTGACGACTGTATTGTATGCCCATTTCATCAATGGAGTTTTCGAGGCTCAGACGGACTATGCACAAATATTCCGTACAGCACTTCAGGTACGTAAAGTTTTATTTATTATAATTTAAAATTATAAATTTAATTTTATATTTTCTACCATGTTGGCTGTGATTAATAATTACTAGACCTTTTTATGAGTCGGCTCTTTGACTAATACTTTTATAAATATGTTCCTGTAAATCATGTCAATACATTTGGTATTCGAATGGCGCAGCTAAAGACAGTTAACATGGTCTACTTTGTAACGAACACGGGCAGCCATGGGCTAGAGAACAGTGCCGTCACATAAATTAGAATTGTAGTCAGAGTTCAGAAACTAAGGTTGAACTAGAATCTAGTTTTAGGTGTCGTAGTTGCTTAATTCCTCTTGAAAGACCTCCTAGCCTTCATAGGTCCGCTTAAAATGTTTGACCAATATAATTTATTGCAGCAGTAACTTTACGAGTCCCAATAAGAAACCGATTTATATATTATCGCTACTGATTTTTATATTGGGTGTACAAGTAGAAAACCTCCTTTTTTTTCATAGTTTGGGGCTTTATTGCGTAAAAATAGCTACATAGTGATTATTCAAAATATTTTCCATCGCTGGCTACAACTTTTTCCCATCTTTCTGGCAGCATGTGAATTCCGCGTCGAAAAAATTGTTCGTCTTTGGACGCGATCCATGTATCCAGCCAATTTTTGACCTCCTTGTAAGACTGGAAGTGCTGTTCAGCTAGACCATTAGTCATCGATCGAAACAAGTGAAAATCGGAAGGAGCGATGTCTGGAGAGTAGGGCGGGTGGGGTAGGATGTCCCATTTCTGTGTTTCCAGGTAAGTTTTTACGACCTTGGAAACATGAGGCCGGGCGTTGTCGTGTAGGATTATCACTTTATCGTGTCTTTCCTGGTATTGTGGCCGCTATTCTTCAGCGCTCGGCTCATGCGCATCAGCTGGGTCCGGTTGAGAGCTCCTGTGATGGATTCGCCTGGTTTCAAAAGTTCGTAATACACTTCGCCGAGTTGGTCCCTCCTAATAACTTTTTCTTTTTTGGCGTTGCAGTAGTTTCTCGCACGTGAAGAGACGCCTCTCAATGTCCTTCGGCCGGAACTCGTACGGTACCCAAGTTCCCTGCTTTTGAATCATTCCCATTTATCGATAGAACAATTCTAATAATATGATTTTAGCTACAAAGTAAATTAGTAAACAATGACTAGTTTTACTGAGACTGGCAGATATGTATCTCGGTGTCAAGGTAGTGATCCATAATTTTCTAAGCTGGGTTTAAGATTGCAAGATTTTGTTGGCGACTTGTTTCACTGAGAAACATAGCTCCTATCTGTACATGCATAGTAACTGAGACCGGTCAAGACGTGAAAAAGGTTGCCGAACCCTCAAATACCGATTATGCAGCATAATTATAAATAGGGACAAGTAAAAATTGATCCATTATTTGAACAATAGATGACTTTAGTGATTTGTATCCTTGCGTTGTATAAGTAGGTGGCGTTAGAAAGTAAAGCTTTCGTACTATAAAAGCTTCTTAGAAAAATTCTGTGTTCGATATCACAAACGCTTTGAGAGCTCGACAAATATGGAGACCGGCAAAGAAATAATTCGCTGAAGTTTATGGCTCTAATACATTATCTGCCAACCATGCACAATTTTGGTTTCGTTGGTTTCGCTCTGGGAATTTTGATGTTAAATATGAGGCAGGTTGCGGAAGGCAAATCGTCAAAAATGCCGACAAAATAATGAAAATCGTTGGGTCTGACCGACGTTCAAGTAGTTAATCAATTGCCCAGGAGTTAAACATTGCACAAAAAACGGTTTGGAACCATTTAACAAAGGCTGAATACACAAAAAAGCTCGATGTATGGGTGCCACATGAGCTATCAAATAAAACCTTTCGGACAAAATTTCGATCGCTGCTGAATCGCAACAAAACCGTCGCGTTTTTGAAGCGGATGGTGACTGGTGATAAAAAGTGGGTCACTTACGTTAGGCGAAAACGGTGGTGGTCGGAAAAGGATAAGCCGGTCGAGCCGGTGGCTAAGCCAGGATTGACGGCCAGAAAGGTTATGCTGTGTGTTTGGTGGGATTGGCAAGGAATTATCAACTATGAGCTGCTCCCCTATGGCCAAACACTTAATTCGGTTTTGTAATGTCAATTTAATTTGAAAATTAAATATTCTTGAAAACATTCAAATTATGATTTACTTGGGTATATGTTTAAAAACATTGACGCTATGATGATTTGCAGCTCATTTATTCAATAGTTATTCTTATCGCAACTATATGATGTCGTTTCCTATTTTAATAAAATTAAAGCGTAATTCTGAACTTTCAAATTATTAATACATAGGTCAAAAAAGAGTTTAAAAAAAATTACAAAATTAAAATATTATATTTTTATTTTTTTTTTTTAATATTTTTATTGTTCCCATAGGATCTTTATGTTATAGTCGTCCAATTATGATGAAAATCAAACCAAACTTAAAATTTGTTGTTCATTTAATATTCCAATTGTTCCTGGGATCTATATGCTATTGTTCACGTTTGAACATGGTTAATTAGATTGCTGGTGCAACACCACTTCAGATTACACTTGTGACCTAAGAAGTATGTTCCCCTTCCCACATAAATAGGATGGGATAACCCAAAGAATTGCCATTTGACATTTATGACACACTTGTCCCCGAAATAGCGTATACATAAGTTAAAAGATTGATTAAGAAAAATCAAACTTTTCTTTATTGAGTTGGATTAAGAACTGATTTACTTAGGTTAAACAATTGTTTTTTATAGCTACGCGTCGATCCATTGCTGCCACCGTCTCTGCCGCTGTTGGTTGCTGCTCTTGGTCACCGTTGCCGTTGACCAAACTTAATTGTAATTGGCCGGTGCATTTTAATTATTGTTTTTATTGTATGCACTTAGTTGAGTTCGATCAACTTTGGAAATTGGCTATTCTGCATTCCCACGATCGCTGACCAAAAGGTGCAAACTCAGCGCACGTGGCTAAGTTCGTTTGAGCTTTATTGAGGGCATTGCTTTGCTGTTAGTTGTGCTATAAATGCTCTCTTCTTCAGTTTGGGAAATTGTATTATTGAGGGCATTGCTTTGCTGTTTGTTGTGCAATCGATGCTTCCTCTTTTCTTCTGACTGGGAAATTTGGGAAAAATTATTTCTTCCCTCCTTAAACGCGACTGTCCTCGGTCGCAACGTAGTAGAGTACAGGTCTGGAATGCGTGGGCTTTTCTTGCGTTTCTGGCACGGAAACTGGTGTACTTTCCATTGACCTACGTCTTCGTAGGAATTCCGTGGTTGATCCTGTTATAAGTAGTAGTAGGATGATGGCGGATCCGTAGCTTACGGAAGATTGCCATGCTTCTTAAATTTTCCAACGCTTTTGTGTTGTTAATGTTGAGTTCCTTGACCAATTGTAGTGAGAGAACTTCCTCTAACTTAGTCTTTTCTCCCAATAGTTGGAATAACGGAGGTTCTGGTTCGACTACGTTGATTTCCTTTGACTTAAAGATGGTTTCGCCAATTGTTACCGTCGATTTACGCTATTGTATTAAGAAAAACCTTGCAGTTGTAAAAGTTTTTCATCTAGTGAGACTGATCAATTGAAGATGTTTAGCAGAATGGTGCCTGGTAGTATTTCTTCGAAATCCGGTATATGTTGATTGTTGATCATTTAAAAGAGCGTTTACGCAAGTATCATTGCTTAAATCTAATAAATTTTCTGAATTACAAATTGTCTTATCATTACAAGGTTTAATAATTGCAAGTAATTGTCTCTTACATTCTAAAAAATTGTCATATTTTATATCATTATTTATTTGTGCTTTTTTTATTGCTTTAATTTTTAAAGTTCTACAATTATCTGATTTGATGGTTGGGAGGCTAATTATGTAAATAAGGACGTTGCCATTTGTGTCTAGTTTGATTCGAGCAAACTCCAATAATTCTTCTATGTTAAAAAATAAGTTATTTTCTTTTTTAAAAATTTCTTCCACTATTTTGGTTTCTGTATTTGTAAGTAAAAATGAATTTATTGTGTTAGATTTGGTCCATGTAATTGCGTATATAATGTTGGTTATTTCTTCTATTATTAATTGAATTTTATACTTTAAAATATTTGCTTTATGATTTACGATTTCTTTCGAGCTGTGGGTAATTTTCAAATTTGCATTAGTAGCATTAGTTAGTTGGTTTATTTTTTGATTAATTAATCTGTTAATTACTACTTGTCTATTGTTGATTTTTAGCTGCTCATTTATCTTATCTTCTAAGATCTGATAGTCGTGGTGATCTGGTGATCCCGCCAGCCATTTCCATGCAGTAGCTATTGCTTCTATTGTCCTTTTTTGTTTTTTTTAGTTTGGAGTATGCGTAAATCCGTTTGGATCTGTTTTAGTTCATAAGGAAGATATGGGTGTAATGGATAAGATGAGGTGAGTGAATGAAATGATTCTTCTAACTTCGCCAGAGTTTCTTCATAGCTTTGTAGGTTAAAGATGTGGATGATTTTATATGTTCCATCTTGTTTTAGCCGCTAATCCGGTTTCAAATGAGATGATTTGTGAATTGCAATAGTCGAGGACCGCATGTTGATAAATATAATCTGAATAATTATGATCTTATGTTATTTTTATGTATGATTTTTCCGTTTTGTGTTTTAATGGTGGTCGTTTTGTTTTCCGCTATTTTCTCGGCTTTGTGTCTAGGTGTAAGTTTAGTTCCTAACCTTTCTTTTATTTTCACGTGTACAGTTTCGCCTGGCTTATAAAGTTTTGGTAATGTTTTTTCTTGATTGTAATATTCGAGGTCGGCTGTTTGTTTATTTTTAATTTTCTTTTTTATTTCTTCTCGTTTTTTTTCTATGTCTTCTGTTGTACAAGTGATTGTGCTTCTGAAAAATATGCCTATGGGTCTTTCTCTTGTTACAGAATGTATCGATTTATTATATTCCTGAACTGCTTTAAAGATTAAATCCTCAAATGATATGCTCCCATTGTCGTTTTTAAGACACCGCATGATTCCAG